TTACCAGCTTTCTCAGCATTCCTTCATCTAACCAAGTTGACATCTAGAATTAACCTTCACACACAGCGAAAAGTGATTATTCTGGGGGCAGTTGCCCTTAGTTCAGCTAAACTTAAATGATGGGAAAGTATGTAAGTTAAAATCTTCAAGGATATTCTGCTACATTAGTTAGCACCTGCGGGATGTTCCACATCTTGCCCTAAGCTGTTTCTTTGAGTTTCTTGCGGAATTAAGTACTTTGGTGATTATCTCACTGTTTCCTTTTATATGTCACATAGCTTAGTTTTATGACTCCTTTTCATGGTAAATTACTTGAACTATTTAAAATTACACATGGTTTAATGAAGATTGTTTTGTAGTCAGTTTATTTATGTTTTCACTATGATTGATTAACCATCTGTTTTTCTTCTGTAACTTTCTTTTCTTTACAATAAAAAGTGAAGCAAAAACTGACTTGAGGCTATGCCTTGGGTTTTCCTCTCTTGAAGAAGTTTCCTTGGTGCAGTCCCTTCCGGCTTCTTGCTGCTCTGAATACATGGGCTCTGAGTAATCTTTTGTATCTCTGTCCCTCTGTGGGAGGTGACAGTCTAGTAAGTGGATTCTGCTTCCAAAAGTAGCACTCACCTTTGTCCACAGCTCTCCACTTCCCCTGATCAGGGTCAGAGTTTCTCACAAGAATTATGTGGTGCCTTCTCAGTGGTCTCCTACCTCCCCTCCTGTCCATCTCCAGTGTGTTCCTATGCTGCTGCCAGGAGAGCCTTCTAAAATGCAGATCCACCACAGCCATTCTGTTTAAACCTCTTCACAGGCCATTCATCACCATTAGATAAAAATCCAAACTTCTTATTGTGACACAAGGTCCTTTGTGATCTAGCTATTTCTATTATTTCCCAATTTCAGACAATGCCCCAAAGGTCTTCTTGCACCTTCCACATGACTGACTTCCTCACTTGCCTCAGTTTTTCTTTTCCTGGTCACCATATATAAAATCTCAACCCCTGCCTCTACCCACATGTCATATCTCCTTTTATACTTTTTTCATTTTCCTCTTTGCGCTTATTCTATCTATAGTACTAT